GCTACGCCCGCCCGATATCATTCTCCCACCCCTCCACCCGCGTGCCGTCCTCTCTACGGCCGCGCCGTTCTTCCCCCTCCCTACTTCTCGATCCCGACCCCACTCCTGCTTCCCCCACCTTCTTCCTGCCTGCCCACCCAACTCCCTCCTCCGACCCCGACTCCCCCGATTCTCCCCCGATCCCCAACTGCGCACCCCCACCCCGACCTTCCGCCCCCTCCGACCTCCCCCCGGTCCTTCCCCCAACTCTCTCCATGCGCACCGCGCTCGAGTTCCGCGCGACCCCCTGCCACGCGCTACACAACTTCCCCCCCCCTGCGTGACTTTTACCCCCACGTTCCTCCCCCCATCACCATCACTATCATCATCATCATCATCATTATCATCATCATCATCATCATCGTCAATCTACCTTTGCAACCCCCTTTTTTTTAACCCTTCCTACCACGCTACCACCCAATCTATCGTAGATAGGATCGCTCCGCCCTCGATTTGCATCAAAACTAATTTATTCCTTTATTTATTTATTGTTTTTAGAACTCACTTGAAATTCATGTAAATTCAAAAATACTTACTTAACTATCTCTCTCGACATTTCTTTTTCAAAAATATTTTCTTTTTTGAAAATTTTGAAAATAGGTAGGATAAATCATTCTCTCTCGGCATTTCTTCTTCGGAATTCAAAAATAATTTTAATTTTTTTTTTTTCGAAATTTTTGTAATTCGAAAATCTTTCAAAATTAATTGAATTCTTTTTCGACATTTCTTTTTTTTTGCGTAATTCGGAATACGTAAAATTAATTAATTCTTTTTCGACAAACTACTTTTCATTCATTCTTTTTCGAAAATTTCGAAAATACGTTAGAATTAAGTAAATGCAGTAACCCGTGTTCTGCAGCAGTCTGGGCCCTTGAAACAGAGCCCAGACGACGAACGCCAAATTTGGCCTGCGCCAGGCAGTGTGACCGCGCACTGCCCGTGGGAAAATTAACAGTCTAAGTCAACTGTCAAGTCAAAGGTACCCCGCCCAGGCCCTTGGTCGGATACACGCACTTGTTGTGCGCAGGTACCCAGACAGCATCGAGGCCAGAAGGAATTCGGTTTCAGGACAATCTGCGCCGATATTTGCATTGAGATCTGGACGGCTGAGGGATGCGGCATCTGGGGTCCAGACCCCGCGTCAACACTACTTATGCGTTGACTTCCTGACTTTGACATTCATTCAGTCTTGCGTCAATGCTGACTTCACACGTTGACGACGCGACGCTGGTTCGACGCTGCGACGCTGGTGGACGCTGGCTTTGTGCTGGCACTTGGGAGATCACGGCGACGCACTGCTGGCTCGACATGGTGGTCGGCTAGCTATTGTCTTCATGGCGTGCTGATATGGCAGCTTCCACACGTTGCTGCTGACGTGGCCGCTGCCACGTGTTTTATCTTTTGACGTGGCTGGGCTACGTGACTGGCATTGCTGTTCTGATTCATTGTCACTCGGGAGGAGATCATGACTGTGGGATGATTGTGGACACATACCTGGTGATCTTGAGGTCGACATTGCTCCAGTACGC